ATGCTGCCGCACATGTGAAACCCGACGTCCTGTATATGAATGCGTTTAAGATTATAATGCGGCCTAAGAATTTAACTTTAGTAGCGAGAGAAGTAGTGTCTGCATGGTCGGCCTAGTCATTTGCGTTTGTCTAAGCTAAGACAGTTTAATCTCATTGTGTCTTTAACCACTGAAATTAATAAAAGTGAAAATTAGGTAGGCCCTATAAAATACTGGGAATTGCAGATCTGTGAAACACTAATATCCCGGCGTCCAGAAGAAAAAGCAGTGCTCATAACTGCTTCCCGTGGAGACAGCCGGAAGGAGCGCCGGAATCGATGACGTTAACAACTAGGTCTCTTTTAGCCCTTTAACTCCCATGAGTGACCAAGAAAAATTTCTCCTTACAATATCAACACAACATCAAGCAGATAAGTGATGAGAATAAAAAAATATATAAAATAGGGGACTATAAGTTGATCCAATACCAAATTCTCCAAACTAACATCACAAGAACTATAGGTAGAAAGTAGGAAGAATTTCTAATGAGATCTTGGGAGTTAGAGGGTTTAAAAGACTTATTCCAAAAGGCTAACTTAGTCTTAAACTAGCAGTAAGTTAGAAGTTACGATGACGTAGCCGTTAATTCATCTTTCCATATCATGGCAGTGCTTTGCAAAATTTTCTCTATAAAAATTCATTTCGGGTGGGAAGGATATATAATAAATATACTTTTGATTATATTTTGTGCAAACTATACCTCTTTTTTAATTTCACTGAGCATTGCTTAAATGGATAAGTGTTGCTTTGCTTTTCAGCCGTGACATATGCTATGGGAATGAAAGGGGAATTACGAACGGGACAACACAATCTTCTGCTGCACTGAGGAAAGAGAAGATCGTGCCTAAGAACCTGTGTTCCCCGTTAGACCTTCTTCTTAGGTTAATTTCCCTTAGGATATATTCAAATCTTCTCGACCTTCTCGGTTCCCGCAGATCCCAGAGGAATCTAGAAATGACTACCTGCAGGTCGCTAATTTTTCCCAGGTTCTCATGCGACGTTCGTTAACAAAACCTTAAAGTAACACACTGGATACTCATAATACTATTCTTGCGAGACTATAGTGATAAGTCATAAGCTAAGCCAAGACAGATTATCTTCGGGATATGGGCTCTGTGGAGAATTCCGTCTCTCTGCTATATCTTCTTTCTATGTCAGCTTTAACTCTAAAGTAACATTATTTAAATTGTCCTTATGATCAGTCTGACCTGTCCAGTTTCCTGTCCAAGCTGTTTGTACAAGGACATGCTGTAATGAGTTAGAGGCTTCATGTTCACCACTGGATTATAGTGAGACGTAACACCGACCTGGAAAAAAGGATAAAGGGTGTTTGAGAGAAACGTCTCGCTATGTTGCTTTTCTAGACAGCGTAGTACATAAACTCCTTTACAATAGCTTGAAATATCGCCTCTAGCTGAAGACGACAAAGCCTCTCGTATTGGCAACCGAATTCTTAATTCAATAACGATAAATCAGTCGTGTCAACATCTCTCTTTTTAGCAATCCAGTTCTTTAAGATTATCCTCATCCATACATCTTTTTTTGTGAATTTCCTTTTTTACATCAATAAATTGTCCTTACCATCCATCTTGAGAACTTAATGCTTACAAATGGCATTTTCGTTTACTGTAAAGCATTACCGAGTGCCAAGTTGAGCCAGCTGTGAGTTCTGACTTTTCTAATAAGATCACATCTTTCATTCCAGCTTTGGCCAAGTGATAAGCAATACTCGTGCCCAGGACTCCCCCGCCGATAATAACAGCCTCAGCATCGTCTTTCAGTTGTTTACTTAGCTTTTTTTTACTACAATGCAAGAATACGATAAAGACGGATACATAAGCAACAGACCTGATAATTCAGGCCTATTCCAAATTTTTACCTTTCCTAGAGACTTCCGTTCTTAAAGGGAAAAGCACTGAGGGCGAAATCATGTAGCGCATTGGAAGAAACCGGAAAGCGCACTCCGACATCCGTCAGAAGGAGGTCATCTCGGGTAGATTTCCGATTACGAAATCCGAGTTCGCCCGATGTTGTCTTCGTGATGAAGACCCTATTTAGCATATTAGACCCGCAAAACAGAGTAGAAACGAACACATGCTTCGTTTTCGCTCATGACTTCGTATTAGGCGTAAGATATTGCTTTTTTTTTTTCGTTGCTTACCTTTATTACAGACTCCACAAAATTTTTGCGATGCCTCCTTTTCACGGATGGCCGATTACAACTACAACATAGTAACACCTCCACGAAATCTGTCAAAAGGAGGATTTTAAAACACCGGAAATGGAGAGGGAAGATAAATGATACGGTCGATTAACTCCCAGACAATTGAATGGTCCAAACTAGCAAAGGCGAGAAATTTGTTATCGTGCGAGAGATCAAAGTATCTGTTTGCTCACTCAATTCTTATTCAGCGTTCGGCCGTATTCCAATCGATAATAAAGTCTCCTTCTCGTTGTGTGAAATGTTGTAGCTGCAAGGAGTTTTTTCACAGGAAATGCATTTCAACAATTATTTTGGAAGATTCAAGTGCAAACTGGCGTTGTCCAAACTGCGAAAGAGCCCTTAAGCAGGAAGAGAAAAATAACCATTAATTTAACATGTAGTATTAAAAACTGATTCTCAGAACTTCCCATTAGTTGTTTATTAAGATAATCGTCGAAGTGAAATATATATGTGTAGTAATTTTTTTATCTATTTAGAAGTCGGCTAAAAGAATTTTTAAAATGTATTCATGAGAAACTGTTTCTTATAGATCTTTCCCTAAGTACGCTCTTGCGTTTAGAATTGAAAATCCTCATCTAAATATTGTAAAAAATATTATCGTAGAATATTTTCAATGATGATCATGGCACAACGCAGAAAGAGAAAATATAATAGGTGAGACAAGTCACGGATTATCCTTGTCGACAAAAGTAATATCGCCTGCTACATTATATTCAAACTTAATCTCCGTCCAATCGAGGTAATGTACAATTTTTTTATCAATTACCATATTAGAAATAACAATATATCGCTTAAACTCTGAACGTAACTGCGTTAAATTTATTTCATCAGAAATCCAGAAGACTTCCGGTGTTTTAAAATCCTCCTTTTGACAGATTTCGTGAAGATGTCATTACGTTGTAGTTGTGATCGGCCATCCGTGAAAAGAAGGCGTCAAATGTATTTTGTGGAATCTGACATATAGGTTAGCAACGGAAAAAAATGCAAATATCTTAACGCTAATACAAAGTCATGAGCGAAAACGAAGTGCTACTTTCTACTCTATTTTGCGACTCTAAAATGTGAAATAGGGCCTTCATGAAAACATCGGGCGAGCTCGGATTTTGTTATCAGAAATCTACCCGAGATGACCTCTGGTGTTGTAACATCCTCCTTTTGACAGATTTCGTGGAGGTGTCACTATATTGTAGTTGTAATCGGCCATCCGTGAAAAGGAGGCATCGCAAAAATTTATTGGAGTCTGTAATATAGGTAAGCAACTTTCTGACGGATGTCGGAGTGCGCTTCCCGAAGAAACCAGGCAGGACTAAACAGTGGTTTCTTTTACATATAGTCTCCGCTGACCTAAAACACACGGGCTCTGGTCATAGAAATGTGAGCTGATGTCAAGCCGCCTCGCAGCTTTTAATTTGTCTGCGGGTGATCTTTTTTTCTATTTTCAATCTCCTGGATATTTCATCGCTCAAATAATTTTTTTGTGAACTATTCAGCTGGATTGGTCAGTTAGTCTTGCTGAACCATAAACGAAATGCACTCACTTAGCGCCGCTAAGTGACCGGGTCTGTAACCATATTTATACATAACCATTTGCAACTCTTTAGCAGTTCGACCTTACATACAGCAAAGTTGTTCGAATGCAGTAAATGTAGCCAATAGTGTAGTCAATATTTAATTTAATAAGGCCAGTAAACATTTGCTGATCCCACCAAGGTCACTTGAATATGGCACTAATTCCCTATTGTTATCCGAGCTTATATACGATAAAAGAGGCTCACGATATTTTATTTAACGATGTAAAAAAAATTATACACGGTTTGCGCTGCAACTAATCGAAGAGTTGAAAATTGTAGTCAGTGCTCATATCACTAAGGCCTGTAAACAACCTCTCCTTATGTTTTGCTGCCCCAATCGTTGAAAGCATTGCTGGTATCTAGTTATTTTCTAGTCTCCTAAGAGATTAGACTGTTTTACCTCGAGTCTTGAGAAGAAGATATCCAGCCGATGCGACCAGTCGACACAACTCTTGAGTCAGCCTTCCTATATTTTACTGCCAACACAGCACGATATATCGGGGTCCAAGACGTACGAGAATGTAACAAGCTTGACATGACTAACAACATAGCAAAGACAGTGCCATGCACTTCAGTATATAAATGTCAACAGCCACAAGAATTAGAAGGTTGCTCATCTTAGTCGATCTTTGCATTCAACTGAACAAAGTTATACATGAAAGTCAGACATATAAATGAGACAATCCCAGTTGTGGCGGTCATGGCATAAGTTACACAGTATATACCGGTCATGGCATAAGTTACACATTAGAGCAAACTGGGGCATATCAAAAATATATAATTTTCAGTACGTACGTTTCTGCAGAATTACACTTTCAAAAAATGACTGGCGATAGCGGTACCAAGGCAATGTCTTAAAAGCTTTTTCCGAACCGACTACGACAGTAGAGTAATCAAACTCTTTAAACCAAGTTACATGCCGAGCTTTGCGACGGGAAAAAAATGCAAATTAGCTAGTGCAGCCAGCTAATTTGCATAAGTAATTCAAGCCAAAGTTTGACCTCTCCGGCATGAGGTTGCTGCCCACGATGTACACACTCTGATTGCGATGCATCATCCTGTCGCGGTCGAGTGAACATGTTTGGTGGCAGCAAGGTAGCATGGACAAAGTTAAAGAGTGTTGCTGGGCCTGTGGGACTCCTGTCATCTTCCGTGACTGTAATGACTGTGACATTTCAGTGAGTCATTTATGACATGTACCGCTGGTAACATGTTTTGCAGTCACAATAAGAGAGCACATGGTCTGCTTTGAAGTTTTAGCTTTCGCTATGATTGTTGTACAAGATTTCTTTTTGTATTAGCGGAATAAGGCACGAAAAAACTTGTAAGTATCGATCGGTTTATATTTAGCTTTCCTTTCGTTTGTCATTCGGTTGTTATTTTGCTTTATTCAGCGGATTTATACATTTAATTTCAGTGAATCGTTGTTCATGTAATAAAAGAAGTTTGCAGTTCAGCGCATCTCAAGTTTACCTTGTTGCGGCCTTCCAGTAGCGAACATTGGGTTCCTAGACTGACGAGATTCAGAAAGAATCGAAACTGCAGTCTTGCCTAAGGATCTACACAAATGGCAGCAGTTACATGCTCAGCCGATGGCTTTGTGAATAATAACAAATTCAGAATATACATTCCTAGACGCGAGTTATAAATTAAACGCATTACAAAGAGAGAGACCTTCTAATACACGAACTTTTTTTCATGTCATCCACTTGGCGTAAATACGGGATTTGTAAAAGAGGAAGCCATTTGCCTGCTAAGAACGAATTCATCACGAATTGTGTGTCACGCTGCAATTCTCGTTCGAAGAAACCGGATTAGATCATTGAAGGCAGGCTTCAGCCAAGACTACTGAAATAGTGTCTTCTCAGTTTTCTGAAATTTCATCACCCTCATAGTAAGCTAAATGACATTTTACAGAATCCAACGGAAATATAAATGAGACTAAAGGTAGTTGGTAGAAATTTCACCCTTGGAGCTTTAAACCATCCCGAAAAACAAACGAACGAACAAACAGACCGTGTAAAAAACAAAACAAAACAAAACAAAATAAAGGAACAACAACAACAACGAAAACAGATTTAATCTGATTTAATCCACGTCGCATTCAGGCGTCACAGCCTTATACGCAAGACTGATCTTTGATGAGTAAATAAAAAATCAGCCAAAATTTTTTAACAAACTAAGCAGGGTATACATCAAAAAGGGCGAGAACCTCACATGTTTCTTACATTGTTCCGATTTATTACTTTAGACTGTTAAAAACTTTAGTAGCAATCTGCTATTTCATTATTTATCTCTCTTTTTGGGGCGCCTACGTTTTTTCTCCCAAGGTGTACGCTTTCTTTTGAAGTTTGCTTGGGACCTTGTATGGTTTCAAAGTTTCGTCATTTCGGAAAAGACAAAAACCCACCAGTTTATGCAAATTGCGCCTCGGTTTCAACCGACTCAATAAAAAAGGTTATGAAAGATAATGAAAAAAAAAATTTAGAATTCTCTTCGAGCACAACCGGTCAAGCATAATGTTACCCGCTGTACGTCGACGAATAACATCAAGAGTTAGCCTATATAATGTGATACCACCCATCGGGGCACCTATCTATAATTTTGAAAACTATCACGAAAATGTTTGGCTCATTTTACAACAAATCAAGGAAATGGAAAAGGCAATTTCACAGCAGAGTGTGCGAAAATTAACTCCTAACCAAGAATTGGATTTTCTTGCACTGATTTTGGAGAAAAGGGAAGAAGACGACGTTGTGATCTCTATTAACGACAGTGTGGAAAACGAGAAATCTGATTTTTTCCACGATCCATCTAGTTCAAGCGATACTGAGGTGGAATTTAGTCTTGCCGGCGCCGTTCAGAATCTTAGATTTCGTTATTCTACATCGGACCAAGAGGCGTTATCCGATGGCGAATCTTCGGGTGTGGCGTTATCTTCGAGAGCTGCTTCAGGTGACTCCATTTCAGGAAATGTATCCAGCATTCAAGAGTCTACTGGAGGACAGGTTGGAAAACAGAAAATGACGAGTTGAGACACAAATCCGCATGAAATGAAACCACTCTTGCAATGATAGATGGCTAATATACCAAATAATCCTAATGTTTTATCAATTGTCTCATTTCTCAAAAATTAAACCATGTACGAGAGAATCGGATCTTACCTAATATGTTTAGGTTAAATAAAGATGTTTTGCCCACCAGAAAGCAGTGGAAAATTAACAAGCCTCTGAAGTTTGCGTCGCTTACGAAAAAAATACTCAACACTATTCCTCAAGAAAAATAATTGCTTTTATCACAGGCGAAAAAACTCAAATTATCAAACTCTCACACTCGACGCCCGTAGCTAACATTTCAGGGGGAATCAACGATTCAGAATGCAACGGCGTATGGATCGTGAGCGAAAAGAAATTTCCTGCGGGCGGCGAAATGTCTTAAATCTGCCAGGTCCTCAGTCAACTGTAAACTCCTTAAGGTCCGTTTATGGATAAGCTAATGAAGATGTGGCTGCTGACACGCTGACCAGCTAACATAGAAAACCCCATACAAGGAACAGACTCTGTGAGGGGGAAGGAACACGAAATAGCCTCATTTACCGTTTCATTTAAAGAAAATAATAAAATTCCATAAGTATTAAAATTTGCAATATTTCCAAGTTTTCCAGTTACATCAAGACCTGAAAGACAATCCTACAAAGTAGCAACAATAAACCTCTTTATTTATTTCCATTCTATTTAAACAATATCTCTAATTGATAATTAGTCCTTAATTCTCATTATCTATCTATTCGCTTGTCTATATTGACAGAAAAAACATCTGAAATCGAGTGTGAATGGGTGGAGGTAAATGGTCAACACTAACTTCCCTCGCGTCAAACATCCCACGGAAATAAAATGACCCCTTGCATTTAACCTGCTAATGCTTAGTCAGTCTTAGTGCTGTGACAATGGTAAAAATTGAAGTGACGCAATGGTGGGAGTGCCAAATGTTTCCTTTACTCTGTGACAGAGCTACAAGGCTACTTCCACTTGTTTTGAAAGACCACACGTCACCTCGATATACCAAAGTCGACTTTAATTCAGAATCCACGCGCCAGAAGTACTTGGTCTGAGGCTCCAGAGTGGTCTTCAGGTGTAGGACATTCCCACCATCGACGACCGATCCAAGATACTCAGAGGAGTGGCGCGAGGCGCTGCTAACCTTCTCCTTATCAGTTCCCAAATAAACATGATGGACAGACGCTCCGTATCCATTCAGCCACATAAGAGTGTCCCTTCGATCTGGTCTTATCTTTTCACTATTGTCAGGGGGCACAGGCGTGCTTGCCTTATACAACTGCCGTCCCGGTATCCAGTAGTGCGTGAACGCGGGGTTATAGCTGTAGGGTCCAACGTTGTGCTGTATATAAGTGGAATTGGAAAGAGGTCGAAAATCGAAGTTATCTGGATCGACCAACTGATCTGTAACTTTTCCAATAACGTTGAACTTCACAACACTCCCGGCCAAAGGATACAACTCTCCCCCGTGTTTGCCACCGTTTGCCTTGTCAGCTCCGTTGAATAAAACTACAGTTCCGTTGTTGATCGGAACAGGGTTTTCGCGAACATAACGTAAAATACACAAGGAACATTTGTCACCTTGGTGGTCACCGTCTTTCTCATTTCTTTTATCAAATACCAGGTTGTGCTGCACTGTGTGATTGTCTCCTTTTACCATCATGCCATTACATTTCCACACCACGTTACTATGCATTGTTCCATTACGTCCAACCGGCAGTGGTGGTTGTCCGTCAAATCTCACCCCATACTTAGGACTAGAATGCGCCCAATTTTGCTGGAGAATTGCATGAGTTTGCGATTTGATTTGTACTTGAACGTGACTGCCGTCATGCTGAAAGGTTATCAAAAAACAAAGTGAATGAGCACCGAAAGGTAACGTAGACAAGAAATTCATCCAGCCCTACCGTATGTCAAATAAAAGACTAAAGAGCTTCAAGACTGCAGAATATTATGGGTGGGGGCATATGTTTCTAAATCATAACAGCCACTATATGTGATCGCAGATCCTGCCTAGGGTTCAAATACCGTGAAAATGCAACGTACTGCACTTATCAAAAGTATTTGAATTTGAATGAAATTTATCCTTTTTTATATCTATTAGACTGCATTCATCGGAATCAAATGTCTTAAGGACTTGCACCAATCAAAGCTCCATTATTATGGCGTCAAACTCAAACCACAGGTGACGCTAGGTTCAAAAATGCAACCCTTCCTACGGCGGTAGTGGGCGAGCGCTGTCACTTCTGGGCAACCATGATGGAGACAGTGATTTCGTTCCCCATGATAATGTACCAATTGAAATACGTCTGGCAAGGAAAAGAGAAGTAGTTACCTGTATAGCACCCCAGCATTGATGATGCAAATGGTTAAGCCGCACTGTAGGCCGCAAACCAGGTCTTATGCCACTGCTGGCTCCGTTGTACCGCAAGGTGTTTCTCACAAAAATGTCGCCAATACCTCTAGAAATAATCGTGCCTAGCCCTCCACTCTTGTAAACCGTGTTTGCTGCAGTCCAGTCGTTGTATTCGAACAAGTTGTTTTCCAGAGTCACATTCAAACCGCTGAACTCTAAGGCGGCGCCATCGGTACCATAGAAAGTGTTGTTGAAAACCGTTAACGTATTGAAGGTAACTTTCTTCGTATTCGCGTTCATTTTAGTCCATTCAGCAGGAGCAGTGTCGCCAAGCATTCGTCGTGTATACGACGGGTAGCTGAAGATGATCGAGTGGAAAGTCAAATTATTCACTGCATTCTTTTCATCCATTGTGGAAGCCCGTAGCGCTGTCCCAAAGAACTTCAGCTTTTTAAAAACCACGTGACTACAGTTGGTAATGTTAAATGCGTACGTCATAACCTTCCCTCTGACGTCACGTCCCTCTGGGGATTTGCCATCTGCCGTCATTACAAATAGTGTTCTAGTAGCTTTGTCGTAAAACCACTCCTCGGGTTGATCAAGAAATTCCAGCTTGTCTTCAAGGAAGTATTGGTTGGCTCCAGGAACGAACTTTATGCGACCGAATGTGTCCTTGTACGTGAATGATGCATTCCCGGGCTTGTGGCTTTGCACTATGGCTGTGAAGGTATTAAAACTTCCGATGTTAAGAACTGCCATGGCACCCGTTGCGTTCAGACCGCTTCCAGCCAAGTCCTTTGAGCCATCATCCACCATAACACCTCGTGTGGACAAGGTGGACGACTTCGCCCAGTAACTGGCGTTGAATACTGTCTTGTTAGACCACAGTGCGTTTGGCCAGCGTGCATTTGTCATCATCTCGCCGTCGATAAATAACTGCCACATGTCATGGTCTATGACAGCCTTAAAAGCGCCACTGTCATCTTTCACCCATCCTTCCTTTGGCTTTAGTTGGACAGTACCATCAATGATCGGATATTCGTCCAGGATTCCCCGTATGATGATTGGTTTTTCAGGGGTACCATGTTTATTCGTGACAGTCACGCGTTCTAGGTAACGCCCTCCAGGAATAACGCATTCATCTCCCGGGGCAGTAAGCTGGTCAACACATAATTGAATGGTTGTAAATTTCGACCGAATGGTTGAAAATGCGGACGAGCCACCACGAGTGCAACCAATAAACAGACTACTCACACAAAAAAAACATAGTAATGAATTCTGACTTGTACTGCGGGCCATGATTTCCTGCAAGAAAACAAGATATTTTACTGACGGTACGTTAATATAAGGTGGTTAATTGTGCTTGTCTGCCCGTTTTACACTTTCATAATGCAAAATAATGATTTCACCATGTAAAGCAAATAATTTAATTTTTCAAAAAAGCGAAGAAAACGCAACGTTTTTGTCTATCACCAAAATCTCTTAAAGTTACCTCGGTGATGAGTCTGTACCCTGGGTACTTTTAAAAAGTAATTTACCAAATAGAGTCAGTGCAGGTAATTTATGTCTTATTGTGCAATTGCGCTCATGTGTGCATTTGGTTTCAAGTTTCAAAATTCATTAAAATAAGAGAAAAAAACCTATACGCGATATTTAGTACTGATTACGGTAGATATCTCCCTCGTCCAACCAGACTGCATTATCATCCTTCTTCTGAGGACAGTCTGAACAAAACCGAATCAGTTTTTTCTGAACTAAAGAATGATCCTTAGATGTTATTCTAACATGGCCATCGGTCCTTCCTATGTGATTTAAAGAAAACTTTTGCGCTGTAAATGAAAATAAGACACTCTTCTCTGGATAAAAGCTTTAGTTTCTAAATGGGCCCCAGAATATACCCTGATGTAAACATTCCCCTATATTGTGATATCTTGTGACAGGTAGAGGATCCGAGTTGTGTAACATCTGACCATATGTGAAGGGGCAAATGTGTCACAAACACAGTTTTATACCTTTAGTAATAGTTACCTTCGATTTTCGGTGAAAAGCAAGTGCATATCAAGAATGATCGACCTGACTTACAGATTCTTACCTCTGTGTCGTTGTTCGTCGATAGGTTCAACGATGAACCAGTCGCGAACGATGAAGTTCCACGCCCGTTCGGGGGTCTGGGAATGAATGAGTGACTGCATGACCAGTGTATAATTAACCAGGGTCACGCGATCTTATCAAATTTCATCGCTGTTTAAGGAGATACGTTTCCCCTTATTTCAATCCATTGTGTACAAACTGTCTGCTGCTGACAGTTGTGATTCATAGGGTTAAAAATCTTTTTTCAGATCAGTCCTATCAAATAAGTTGACAAGCACTTTTAAGTTTCCACAAAGATAGTCATATTTGGGGGTTAAAGCTCTACATCAAAGACAGTACTTTCTTTTCATGTGGGCAGTGGAG